CCAAGTAGCATTATGGACTCCAAGTATTTTAGAACTAGGAGCAACCTTAGAAACCATTCAATCCAATCCCCTCATTCTACAAACAAGCTTCAGTGACTTTCTCAAAGGCACCCAGCTGGACAGCATTTAGCCCAATGCCTGGTGCACAGTAGGCCCTTAATAAGTGCATCTTGACTTGAGTTGGACAGTGACAGAGCTACAAGAATTTTGGTCCTTGTGAACTCTACCTTTCCATTGATTTTGTATTATTGGCCTTGTCTTAAGCCATTTGTTATCAAATCTGCTCATCATGAGACCATTTGTGAAATTCACTTTAATCTGAGTTGATCAGGGACTTGGGAAAACATCTCAAAGGTAAGTGACATGTCCAAGGTCACACAGCCAGATAGGAGTCTCTCTGTATTCTATTACGCTACCTCTCCATGGTGCTCTGGGACGTGGTCCTTAGTAAAAAACAACAACAACAACAACAACAAGAAAAACGAATGATGTTCAAGACCAAGAACCCATCCTCCCTTCCTATTTTTAAAAATGCAAATGGTGATATTGACGATTGTCACAATGCAGACAGCTTTATTCTATGCCTCTCTGATGGTTACTATCAAGTGAGGCAGTAAACACACAAAGGTGTTCCTGAATGATGTCGAGCATAGGAATTTTACTGTTTGCATCAAGCCCTGGTACTATGTAGTGATTCCTAAGTGAGATCTACAATCATTCAGAAGAATTTTTCTGAGCTTTCAATCCTAGAGGCTGGGTTTCTCAACCAGGAAAAACCATAGATGACTAATATCTACCATCCAAGCTGATTTGCAATTAGATGGACAGACCAGTAAGCTTGTGCGTTAGAACATATCCATTGAACAGATACTGGAAATGGGACCAGAATGAAAGATGAAGAGTAGGACAGGTTGGGTTGCCTTTGGGTAATTGAACAGTGCTTTTATCAACCCTTCATCCTGATGGTGTGTGTGCCTGTGTGTTTGTGTGTGAAAGACCCATTTAAAAAAATTAGTATTCTTCTTATGATGGTATATGACTATAAGTCATGAATTCTGCAGCATCTGAGACTCTAAGACTGTGAGTCACCCAAAGAAAAATTGTGAAGCACTTTATGGGTAAAAGTCAACTATACTGTATCGCAATGTACTGAGGAAACAGTAGGCCAGCTCTTTGGGAGAGAACACTGGATTTGGAATTAGAAGAGGTAGAACGTGACCCTGATTTTACTCATTCCCACCTGAGTGACCTGAAGAGAGTCAGCTACCTTCTCTGGTTCTGAGTTTCTCCATGTATAAAATGAAAAGTTGAGTGGCCTCTGAGGCCACTCTCAACCGTAGAGCTATGATGCTGTGATGCTCACTTGATGTATGAAAGAAAACAAAAGTGGGTCAGTCAGGTATTGAGAGTGAAGGATAATTGATGGAGAGCTACTTGTCAATGTCAAGAAATAGAGGAAGGTGCTTCTGAATGCAGAGGAGGCCCCCCAACTGGAGAATCTGAGTCGATTTGGCCAAAAGTCACACAGGATGAGGTGTAGATGAACCCAAGGGTGCCACCTGCAGCCTTGGGGAGAGTACCCTCACTGATGGACTCATGGAGTCATCAATATGTTGAAATAGTGTTTCCAAATGAATCTGCTCTGGGAAATTATTAATTACTCCAATAAGTATCTTAAGAATGTGAGCATTTAGAAGGTATAGATCATGCTGCTTTAGGTGGAATCTAGCACACTAGCCACTAGGGAATTAGTTCATAGCTGCTGTAAAGGTCAGCCTCCTTTTATGGAGTATCCTCAGTCAGGATGAGAGTCATTTGTTTTTACAATTCAACAAATATTTATTAAGCACTTCCGTGTGCAAGAGGGTTTTCTACGTCATGGGAATATGAAGTCAGACATGAAAAAAAATCCCTTCCCTTCAGGAGCTTTGTTTTTACTGGGGGGATATAAACAAATATAGGATCATTTGATTAAAAATTAGGGGAATCAGGAAAGAGTTCCCACAGGATATGGCACATGAGAGGTAGTTATAAAGAAGGAATGCATTCCTTGAATAGATGACAGCTGAGAATGGCCTGAGCTTTGCAGGAAGGAAAGAATTCTAAGATGGACATAAGGAGGGTGTGCATTCTTGGACTGGAGGACAAAGGTTTGGAAGTGGGAGGTGGAAGGCTGAATTTAGGAAATAGCAGGGAGGCCAATTTGGCTGGAATGTAAAGTACTTAGAACAGAACATTAAGTGCAAAAATTCAGGCCAGAACTAGAATTAAAAGAGCTTGAATGGCTAACCAAGTTAAAGAGCTCGTTTATCCTAGAGACATAGGGAGTAGGTGAAACCTGTTGAGTAGGGCAGTGACTTGTTAAGAGTTGTGCTTTGGGAAGAGTATTTTGGCAATTGTGTGGAGGGTGGATTGAAAAAGGGAGACTGGAAACCAGGACTCTAGTTAGGAGGCTCCTGTAGTCCAGGTAAAATTTGTTAAAAAACCTGAGCTAGAATGATGGCTATCTGAGTGGAGAAAAGGGCATGAATGTGAGAGATGTGGAAGTGGAATTGACACCCATTGGTGACCAATGGGATATGGGGTTGGGTGAGGGAGAATGTCATGTAGAGGATAACTCAGAGTTTGTGAACCAGGTGATTGAAAGGATCAACAGGAATCGGAATTTTGGAGGAGGGAAAGAGTTAGGTGAAGTGGGGGGAGGAAGATGAGTTCTGTTTTGAACATGTTGAGTTTGAGATAACCTTTGGAGGTCCAAGTGGAGAGATCCAGTAGGCAGTTGGTAAGGTGGGACTGCAGCTTAGGAGAGAGAGGAGGTCTAGAGATATAGATTTAGGAGTCATGTAAATAGAGCTGGTGATTGAGTCCACGGGAACTGATGGTGTCAGAGCTTTAGCAGGATACCTATAATTTGGAGGTGGGACATGAATAATGATCCAGCAAAGGAAACTGAAAGGAAGTGATCAGACTGGTTGGAGGAGAAGAGAGAGCAGTGCCGTACAAGTGGAAGGACTGGGACAATTCTCAGGAGGCCAGGGCTACTAGGCAAAGTACCCACATACGGCTCAGGCCAACTACTCGATAGAGAAGGGCAAACAAATACAGGCTCTCATGTTGTAGAAGCTACGAGTGCTGTATTGCCCTTTGGGGGCACACAATCCTCCAGATGCTCACATTCTTAAGAAACTTATTAGACAGAGCCTTTAATTCCCCGGAACAGATTCAACTGGAAATGTTATTCAAAATACTGATGACTATAATCTCATTGATGAAGATACTCTCTCCAAGGGGGCAGATGGCAACCTTTCTATACTTTTTCTATATTTTTGAATTTGGATTCAATATCACCCACATTTTCTTATTACTATTCACTCAGAAATGGAGGAAAAGACATTGGTATTTACCTTTATCTTCTTCTGGAATGTTGGCAACGTTCACCGAGTAATCATTGGTGATGGGATGCCTCCGGGTAAGTTGTCTCTTCTTTTCTATTTCCTGTTGGGCAGCTGATTCTGCCACACAGTCTTGTAAGTTAAGATGGCGTGTCTCCTCAGAAGTCTCTACTTTTGTCCAATTCTCTTTGTGGTGTGGGCTGGAGGTAGGGAAGGACTCCTGTAGGGAAAGAGAAGTTAGTTAGATAATAAAAAGAAATAAATTTCCTTCTTCAGGCAGTATACAAACAAAATAATGCAGGTGGGTCAAAAGTGGTGAAAATCTACAGAGAGGTCAGGGAGGATGAAGAGAGAAAAGAATCCACTTGATTCAATGATTCAATGGTCAGGGGCGATCTTAAAGTTGCTTCAGGAGAGTAGTGTGTGTTGGGGGGTAGAATCCAGATTGCAAGGGTTGAGGAGAGAATAGGTGATGATAGTTGAGATGCTTATGCTAAGGCATCAAAGTATACATTCCAGTAGATAACTGGGAGTCAACTGCATGGAGCTGGTAGGGAAGACAGTTAGAGAGGAGTTTAGAAGAGGAGACACAAACTCTACAAAGACTCTTGAGTTTGGCAAAGAAAGTAGGAGCTTTTTGCCATTATGATTGGGAGGGACTTGCTGAGTAACTAATGTAAGATAAGAGTGATCTCTGTCAACAGAGTCTAGTTCTAAGGGTTTGTTTTCACAAAATCATCTTGAGGGCAGCCTCAGTCACTAAAACCCTTGGTACCTCAGGTGGGGGCAGTTAGAGTGCCAGGCCCTGAGTCAGAAAGACTTACTTTTAGCCATCTGGAAAAGAATGAGTTGGGTTGTAGCTGCCTGCTGGCCTTCTCCCCCCACCCCTGTTGTTGTCGAGTCATTTTTCAGTCATGTCTAACTCTTTGTGAGCTATTTGGAGTTCTCTTGGCAGAGATACCAGAGTAGTTTGGCATTTCCTTTCCAGCTCATTTTACAGAAGAGGAAACTGAGGCGAACAGGGTTAAGTGAGTGGCCTAGCGTCACACAACTAGTAAGTGTCTGAGGCCAGATATGAACTCAGCAAGATAATTCTTCCTGATTCCAAGACCAATATTCTATCCACTGCACCACCTAGTTGTATTTTACATATTCATGTATGCATGTATATACACATGCACATGTGTAAATATATGTATTTCAATGTGTGTGTATACATGTATATGTCTGTGTATATATATGTGTATATGTATCTATCTATATCTGTATCTGTCTCTCTCCCTCTCTCTTTCTCGTTATTTCACCTTTTAGGGCTCCAATTCCCTCATTTTGAAATAATGGAATTGGACTTGCCCTCCGCATTCTTAACAAACTCTATAATCTTATGACCTTTCAATAAACAGTTGTATTTATGGCTCACAAAGGGCCCTTGAGATATTCCTGTGCTGTGTGAGAAAGGGACCTTTTACAAAGGAATCCAATGAAATGAAATACAACATGTTCACATTCCACTTGGATTGGACTTCCTCCTACCACAGGCATAGAAGGACCAAAGATCACATTTCTCCCAGGATAGAAATCTGAGGAGGTTGACAGCCACTGCCTTACCTGACTCAGTGAGACTTGGTCAATATCCGAAATCAATCCCTCCTTTTCACTGTAAAAGCAAAGCAAGAAGGAATGCTTTATTTTGTTTGTTGTTTGGTCACTGCTCCTTGGCAACACATTTTAACGATCACGTTATTTCCAGGAAGCACACATGGACAGATTCTAATCACACCAACCCTAGCGTCATCTTTAAAAATTACCTACAGCTCAACGTGCCTACATTTACATATGGAAAGCCCTTATCAACACAGATCCTTTCAATCTGGCGCTAGTGTTCTCTTTGGTAGGGTCTGACCTGAGAAAATAGTTTGCTAGACAAATGAAAGCAATTAAAAAATGCAATATGTTTCATCTAGTTAAGGAAACAAATAGCTTAACACGTACTTTAGAATAATTCTTTGTACTCAAAAATATTGCATGCCAGTTGCATTATTGTTTTATATTCATTAAACCAAGTCTGAAAGCTTACCCTCAGCAAAATGTCCTTTCAACATTTTGTTACTGTTGCTTTGTGTGTTACTAAAAAGAATAAACTGTATTTCTTTAAAGTATTCCATAATTCTAGTTCTTCATTAATCCAGTGAATAACCTTCCACCCACTGAGGAAGGGAAAGGATATATTGACACACACACACACACACACACACACACCTACATGCATGCACACACATACAAAGTCAGTCCATAGTTCTGATTAGTATTGGCAAGTCTGTGTTTCCTTTCTCAGACAGCTGATCACTTGTAGCTCAGGAAAGGAACCTGAGGCTGAAATCCACAGACCAGTTCTTGCACATTTGTATAAATGTCATCTGACATGTCATCCTTCCTTCTGACAGGATTTCTTCAGACTTTGTCTGGATTTTGTTTTTCCTAGGCTTTTATCCAAATCTGCCCTGATTCCAGATCTCGGATACAATATCCGTGTGGAATCTCTTGTTGGCCTGTGGCCACACTGGTCACAATTCTAATAGTTGGACAATTCAGTTTTATCCTCTGCCTCTAGCTAGCCAGAATTCAGATTCCCTTGCCCTCATGGCATTAAAGCAAAGAAAAATGCTGCTTACCTGTTGCAGGAACTGAGCTCTTCAAACATGTCAGGCACTCTGGCCATGGTAACTCCTGTGATGAGAAAAGCAAGGGAAAGGGAATAAATTTTCCTTAAGCACTTATTGTGTGCCAGGTCCTACACTAAGTACACTATAGTCATTATTTCATTACATCCTCGTAACAACCCTGGGAGGCATGGGCTTTTATTACCCTTATTCAACAGCTGAGGAAACTGAGTTTAAGTGAGTTGCCCAGGGTTACACAGCTAGTAAATTTATCTGAGATTGGTCAGATTTCAACTGAGGCTCAGTACTCTATCCACTGTACCACTAGCTGCCTTGGTAAGCACCTGGTATCGGTGGAGTCAAGCTCCCAATCCAAATGGATATGAAGGGACCTAATTCACAAATGCATAGGATCATAAGATTATAGGTCAGCAATCCAACCAGCATGATATAAGCTCCTAGTATGTACTAGGCACTGTGCTAGGCACTGAGAGCGTTGTTCAGTCATGTCTGACTCTCCATGACCCCATTTGGGGTTTTCTTGACAAAGATACTGGAGTGGCTTGCCACTTCCTTCTTCAGTCCATTTTACACATGAGGAAACTGAGGCAGACAGGGTTAAGTGACTTGCCCAGGGTCACACAGCTAGTAAGTGTCTGAGGCTAGATTTGAACTCAGAAAGATAAGTCTTCCTGACTCGGGGCCTGGCCTATTCACTACACCGCCCTGCTGCCCCAGGCAGTGAGCATACAGAGACAAAAATGAAAGCGTCTCATTCTCCACCAGGTACTAATGCTGGATGGAGTCCATTTTACTTTCTTATAAAAACTCAAGAGAGAAAAAGCAGAGTTGGGAAAAATCAGTATGTTTTGTTCCTCATCATTTTTGAAGGATTCCCCCCCCCCCCCCCCGCCCCTGCCACCTAATCCCCTCCCCCACCCTCCCCCACCCCAACACACACACTCTCTCTTATCTTGAATGAGATAAGGCACTGTTTGCCTAGTACCAAACAGACAGGAAGATGCTGAGACTGTGGCTTCAGCTGAGGCAGTTTCACAGATGGCAGCTGAAGCAGAAAAGCACGCAGAGGTATTTCAAGCTGGAGATGGGATAGTCACTCTACCTACCTCTTGTGTCCTGAGGCTCTGTGTGACTGCGTCTCTCCGTGAAGGCTTGTGACTGATTGCACTGCCCCAACTGCCTTTATATATACGCATATATTGCCTGAAGAGGCGTGGCTAGTAATTGCATAACATCAGAAATCACTCTGAAGTATTTTTGGTATTCACGGTAAAGGCAATTGACCTTGGCTGTCCAGCAAGGAACGTTGCTTACCAGGCTTGGTTTTTCAAGAGTGCAGACTCAAGTCTCCAGCCCCACTACTTTCAGACTTTGAGACTGGAGGGCAAGTTATCCTCTCTTCTCAGAGCCCCCACTTTCTTCATCTGTAAAATGGGTATAATCACACTCATATTACCTACCCCCATAGGGCTGTCTTGACCAAAGTGTTTTGATACAGTGTGATGCATTTGCATTAAAGTAATAGAGAAATGAGTGAGTGTCACTTCCCAGTCCGGAGTGGTGACTTTGGGGACCTGGATGGGACAGGCTGTTTAGTCACTGCTGACATTGGGAGCCATAGCTTGGGCTTTGTTGAAAGCTCCTTTTTCAGGGACCTGGTGATAAGCCCAAACATAATGGGGAGGGCTATCCAGGAGACGGATTTCTCAGGATTTGCAGCTCAGGGGTGTGAGTGCGGGGCTTTTACCAACTGAAATATAAACCTTTGAAAAGGAACTTGGGCCCTTCATACCTCACCGAAATTCCAATATGATTATCCTGCAGTGAGGCCCCTGAGAACTCAGGGCCTGGTGAAAGCAAGAGAAACTGTGGCTTCCGGTAAGCTTCCTCTTTGCCCTAGGCAAGACTAGGTTGCACCATAGTGCACAGAGTGTTGGGCCTGGAGTCAGGAAGACTCATCTTCCCTAGTTCAAATACAGCCTCAGACACTTCCTAGCTGTGTGACCCTGGTCAAGTCATTGAACATTATTTGCCTTAGTTCTCCTCTGTAAAACGAGCTGGAGAAGGAAGTGGCAAACCACTCCAGTATCTTTGCCAAGAAAAACTCCAAATGGGGTCACGAGTCAGACACAACTAAACAATGAAAGGGACATGCTCTAGCCTTTCCCACTGCTGCTTTGTTTTCTCCATCACAATGAATACATTTTGACATCCGTCATCACCATTCCTCCTGGTTCTAACTCAGGTTCAACAGCAAAGGACTTTGGTTCAAGTACCAGGGGTTCAGCCAAATAAAAATGACAGTCGTGGGTCGGGTAACTTGGGAACATCTCTGGTGATCTTTAACATTCCCTGTTTCACATCTACCTTTCTAATCTTATTTCATTGTCCTCTTCACACACCCTAAGCTCCCATCAGATTGGCCTGAGAGCTGCTCCTTGTATGTAATATTTCATCACTTGCCCCTTCCTATGGAAGCAGTAACTGAGCCATTACAGAGATTGGGCTCCTGCGAGGATGAATATTTTTTCTCTTTGGTAATCTAGGAAAAACCCTGAGTTTCACTCTCAACAATTCCACTCGATCTGGCTAGTCAAGTACTGAGTCCTCCTCTGAAGAGAATTTCCCAGATGTCAAGGGGCTAACTAAGGTGACTGTGTGGTCACTAGACTACTTCCTTCCTGTGACACTCTTTGACAATATTTCCTTTTGAAATATTGCGGAAGGAGAGGGCATGTGGGGTGACAGTGTAAAAGACATTGGTCCTGTGAGGGCTCAGAACCTGGTAGACATTAGAGATGGTGGGAGACAAAGGCTGCCCTTGATTACAGGCAGGAATGATGGGGGATGTGTGTAGGGGTGTGTCTGGGAGACAGGAGAATCAGGGTGGACAGCGTAAATATCACAAGAGGCATGGATTTATCTGTCACTTAGCTTTCGCCCAAGCCTGGAGAGTTCTGAAAACTTCAGGTTATACATTGCTGCTACCTGGGAGCTAGAGAGCTGGTCTTGGAATCAGGAAAAGTCTGGGTATAAGACCTGCCTTTGATGCCTATTTCATCAGGTAGCATTCAAACCTAGGTCTTCCTGATTCCAAGCTCAACACTCTTTCCACGGTGCTATAGGGAAGACCAAGGCTGGCCTTAAGAGTCAGAAAGACCTGTGTTTCAATTTTGCCTTAGACATTTAACTAGCTATGCGACCCTGGGCAAGTCACTTGTAAAATTTCTCAAACTGAATTTCTTTCTCTGTACAGTGAGGGTAATAATAGTACCTACCTCACAGGGTCATAGTGAAGATCTAACATGTAAATAATTATTTATGTATATATATTCTGTATGCAAGGGTGTGCTGGTGAACGTTTAGCAACTGGCTTTCCAAAAATGTGCCTACAGAATTCTTTTAAAGTTATTTTCCATTATTAACATTTTTTCCATTGCTTTCTTAAGTCTAGAGACAATCAACAAAATGATAAGTTGATCCCCAGTTTGAGGAATTTGCACATTTTGAGGCATAAACTCTAGCCCTGGATATTTAACAATTGGCTCTGCCAAGCCATATCCAGCTGGATCCAGCACACCCCTGTCTGTACCCCAAGTTAGATCATATGCTTCTTAAGGGTGGGGACTAGGGAAACAGCATACAGAATGAAAATTCCATAATTCTAGTTTATTCAGAAAATACGTCTTAGGTGCTTGCCGTGTGTAAAGCACCATGGTGGGCCCTTTACTTCAATGAAACTCTGGGTAGTCATATGTCTGGTGTACGTTTAAATGAGAATTCTTCTTCAGGCATAAATTGGACTGAATGGTCTCTTCCAATTCAGAGATTCTGATACTCGGAGAACTTGGGGTTCCCCTACACAGTTGATGAGGAGTGATATAGTTCATGCCTTTGAGAGTCTTACACCATGATGGAGGATATGAGATATGGAAAAAATTACTCTGATAAATGTAGGTGGTGGTAGTTAGAGGGATATATGTTCCTGGGGTTTGGTCAGTGACCAGAAATAGTGCCATGGTCAGGTGAGTTCTTAACAAAAGTTACCAAAGGCTCCCCAACAATATCCTCCTGCCTAGTGGAGAGTCTTGGCTAGACAATCCATCATGGTCATAGCAGGAAGTCCCAGTGGGGCCCAGCACTTAGGAAAGTGCCTGGCTTATATTAGGTGTTTAAGAAATGCTTGTTGACTGACTGGTGGATGTACCCAAACCCTCAATTGATGGGCTTCTGTGTTTCTAGTTCCTTGCTACTATAAAAAGGACTGTTACAAGCATTTGGTGTATATGGAGTCTTTTTTAGCTGCTTGACCTCCTTAGGGAATTTGCCTACCAGTGGATTCACTGGGTCAAAGGATCATTTTTGTCACTCTCTTGGCCTAATTCCAAATTGCTTTCCAGAATGCTTAGACAAATTCAAAGTTCCACCAACAGTGCATTGGCATCATATACATTTTCTATATATCCTTGTGCCCATGTCTATACATAACTGAAGGACTATGGCAGTTAACTGAATCAATTTTTCAACTATTGTAAGAGTCAAGTGCTAAGTAGATGATGGTTAACCAAACAGTTGATTTAATATCTGTTGCCTGGTAATCAGCCTGCAAATGTTCTGTCCAATTACACTTTTAGACATGGTTAGTAGCAAAGCTAGTTAATCTTAAACTCAGTGAAATATACTCACCAGTGCTTCTGTTCTCCCCTGTAAAGAGGGAGGCATGGAGCTCTGGGCCTGCACTCATCATCTGAGGGGCAGCAGGAGCAGTTATATTGATGTGGTTGGGGTCTCATAGAATGGCACACTAGATAGGAGAGTCCTGATGGGCTAGGGAATGAGAAGGAAATCTAGGTAGCAAATCTTTTGATCATCCTGGCTCTCTGTTTTCTTATTTGTAAAATTAGGGCTTTGGGCTACATTTGTGTGGGTTACATGGTCTCTAAGGTCTAGTTATCAAGTTCTGATTTGGGTTTAATCACATCTCTGGTGATGCCCGTGTTGTTGTGGAAATGTCCATTCTACCCAACAAACATCATCATTTTTTCTCCCTCTTCCTTCTTGTCTTGTTTCTCCCCTACTTTGACTGTTTCTAAACCTCTCTTTGTCAGAGTAAGGACAAATATGATTATGTCATTTACAATTTCCATCCAACTGATAATAATATGGGATATTTGTCTAGACCAAGGGTTCTTAACCTTTTTTGTGTCCTGGACCCTTTCGTCAATCTGATGAATTCTAGGAACCCTTCTCAGAATCATGTTTTTCTTTTTAATGCAGAAAATAAAACACATGAAATTACAAAGAAAGCCAGGTATACTGGAACTCAATTACCTAAGTATTTGAAAGAAAAAGTTCCTAGAGTCCAATGAAGAACTCCTGGTCTAGGTCTTTGTGATCTGTAAAGGTCTTTATTCCTCTACTGACTCCTCTAAGCCTCTGTGAGTTAGTTACAACAGGCATTATAATCCTCATTTTACAGGCGAGGAAACTGAGGGGCAGAGAAGTTGAGAAATTCACGCATGGCTACACAGCTAATTACATATCTTCTTTCTTTCTTTCTTTCTTTCTTTCTTTCTTTCTTTCTTCTTTCTTTCTTTCTTTCTTTCTTTCTTTCTTCTTCTTCTCCTTCTCCTCCTCCTCCTCCTCCTCCTCCTCCTCCTCCTCCTCCTCCTCCTCTCTCCTCCTCCTTCCTCTCTCTCTCTTCTTCTTCTTCTTCTTCTTCTTCTTCTTCTTCTTCTTCTTCTTCTTCTTCTTCTTCTTCTTCTTCTTCGGCAATGGGGTTAAGTGACTTGCCCAAGGTCACAGAGCTAGTAAGTGTTATGTGACTGAGGCCGAATTTGAACTCTGGGCTTCCTGACTCTAGGGCCAGTGCTCTATCCACTGTGCCACCTAGCTGCCCCTAATTATATATTGAAGGGCAGGACTCAAAGCTTTCCTGTCTCCAAGTCCAGGATTCCTCTGTTAAGACATACTCTATGTCAGGCACTGCGCTTGCCCTGGGGGGTTGCAGGGACAGAGATGAAATCATCCTTGCCTTCAAGGAGCTTGCATCATGGATTCCTTTTATAATATTGTGACATAAGCCTGTGGTTGACAAGTGAAAAAGGAATGGGGGTGAACAGGAAGCACATTGTTGCTTACTCCTCTTTCTAGTA